AAAATGTCCCTCTCTATCTTTTCTAATTGATTTAAGTTTGAAATCAACTTTGTTAGAAATTAGTATGGCCACACCTGCTTGTTTCTTGGGTCCATTTGCTTGATAAGCCTTTTCCCAGCCCTTTACTCTGAGTAGGTGCCTGTCTTTGTGGTTGAGGTGGGTTTCTTGTAAACAGCAGAATGTTGGATCCTGTTTTCGTATCCAGTCTTTTAGCCTGTGCCTTTTTATAGGTGAGTTGAGTCCATTGACATTAAGTGATATTATTCTGTATGTTTTGTGTTTTGATTATTATATGGCGAGGAGATGTTTTTTTTTTTTTTTGGTCCAGTCTATTCGGTGTTCTGTATACTTCTTGAACCTTCAAAGGAATATCTTTCTTTAGGCTGGGAAAGTTTTCTTCTATAATTTTATTAAATATATTTTCTGGACCGTTGAGCTGTACTTCTTCTCCTTCTTCTATCCCAATTATTTTTAGGTTTGGTCTTTTTATTGTGTCCCAGATTTCCTGAATGGTTTGTGATGAGAATTTGTTGGTTTTGCTGTTTTCTTTGATCAGTGTGTTTACTTTCTCTATGGTATCTTCAGTGTCTGACATTCTTTCTTCTATCTCTTGTAATCTGTTGGTCGTACTTGTCTCTGTAGTTCCTGTTTGTTTACCCAGATTTTCCATCTCCATCCTTCCCTCGGTTTGTGTTTTCTTCATTACTTCCATTTCATTCTTCAAGTCTTGAACCGCTTGCCTTACCTGTTTGATTGCTTTTTCTTGTTTCTCTTGGTTTTCTTGGATATCTTTGAGCAATTTATTCATTTCCTCTACCTTTTTGTTTGTAATCTCTAATTGTTTATGGCAATTTTTCACCTCCTGTTTAAGATCTTCTATTATTTTCATATAATTAACTTTTGAGTCGATTTCTTCTAATTCTTCTGGAGTAGGGTGTACAATTCTTCTTATTTTGGGATCCCTGGATTCTGGTGATGTCATGTTGCCTTTCAGGTTGTTTGAGAAATTCTTGCATTGGTGCCTTCCCATCTCTTCCTTCAAATGGAGCCAGGAGAGGCCTGATATCTTGGTCCAGTCTTTGCTGTGACTGACTCTCTGGGTGTATCTCTTCAGTGTCGAAGCAGGAACCGTCCCATCCAGATGGAACTCCTCAGCACCAAAACATGGACGTCTGGTAGTCCAAAGACCCGCAGACAAAAGGGGGAACTTGGGGGGCAGGGCGGCGACTAGTAGAACACAGGAGACCCTGCCGCACAAGCTGAAGGTGCGCGCCGTGCTCCCTTTCGGGGTTCCTTGAGGCCTGTCCGGTAGGCAGGCACTCACCGCTCTGAGTGGGTAGCCTTAGTGTAGGAGCAGAAAACTGTTCCTGAGCAAAGGACCTTGCAGAAAACGTAGGCTTGGGGAGGGGGAGGTTGTGTGTAAGAAAGACATCCCTGCAGAAGGAGCTGGGGGAGGGGGGTTTGTGCTCTCTTCCGGGACAATCCCCCTGGATAGCACACACTTACCTGTCCAGATGGAACTCCTCAGCACCTAAACAGGGCCGCCTGGTAGCCCAATGATCCGTGGACAAAAGGAAGAATGTAGCAGGCAGGGCGGGGTCCAGGAGAGCACAGGAGACCGTGGAGCACAAGCTGAAGGTGCCTGGGCTCCCTTACAGGGGATCTTGAGGCCTGCCCGGTAGGCAGGCACTCACCGCTCTGGGTGGTAGCCTTAGTGTAGGAGCAGAAAACTGTTCCTGAGCAAAGGACCTTGCAGAAAACGCAGGCTTGGGGAGGGGGAGGTTGTGTGTAAGAAAGACAGCCCTGCAGAAGGAGCTGGGGGAGGGGGGGTTGTGCTCTCTTCCGGGACAATCCGCCCCTGGATAGCACATACTCACCCGTCCAGATGGAACTCCTCAGCACCAAAACAGCGCCGCCTGGTAGCCCAATGATCCGGCCAGACCTGATTTTTGATACAGCACTAGAACTTTTTCCAGAAACTTGTAGGTATCTGTAAGAGAACTGGAACAGATTTTCATCTTGGTGTCATAGCAAAAGGCTATTGCTTTAGGTTAAAAGGTTTGCGCATTTTAGAAGACAATTAAAGGGAATTGGAAACTCTGGATTTTTAAGATACACCTGTTAATCTGAACTATGAAGCCTTGAAAGAGGCACACCTGTTTGTATTTTAGCAGGAAACTTCAAATGAAGTAATGAGCTACCAGTACCTTAAGTTGTCAAATGCCATGGATGAAGTAATAAGTTAACAGTACCCTAAGTCACCAAATGCCATTAGACAGATCTAAGGGGATAAATGGGCAAAAATGAGACACCTTTTTTTAGCTACGCAGGCAATCCCAAGTCTCTCCTTAGTCCTCGGAGAACATCACCTGGAGGCAGTGATTGCCGTTAGCTGCTGGCTACAAGAGGCCCCAAGATTTTCCTGTGGGGGGAAGATTTAGTCCACCTGTCTTGGCAGGATGAGAAGATCGAGTCCCTGGGTGGCATCCAGGAAGCTCAAGAGGTGGAAGGCCGCTTTTTGGGGTGTGGGTGTCTTTGCCAAACCCAAAGGCAAGCCTCAAGGAGGAAGATCTTTGTAACCACGTATCTTCTTGGAGGAGCTATAGGGTGCCGTGGGAGCTGGCATGTCTATGTTAGAAGCTCTCTTGTCAAATGCGGTACTCTCAGATCTGTAAAGGCACTTGAGAATATATTTAAATGTTATATTTAAACTGGACATATGAGCTAAATTTAGGCATGTATTTTATCCAATTAGTTACAGCTTACCAATGCTAGTAAATGTAAGACGATTAAAAGGAATATTTTAATAAGTCAAAGAATACTAGCACACTGTCACAGAACTCCCTGTGGAGACCCTGTGAGCTTCCAGCTCACAGATCACAGAGATCTGAATGAAAAATGAGGACGTGGCCCAGCAGTGGTGCTACAGGCCTTTAATCCCAGCACTTGGGAGGCAGAGGCAGGTAGCTCTCACCAAGGCTTTTAAACAGAGAAATCCTGTCTCAAAAAAAAAAAAAAAATAGCCGGGCAGTGGTGGTGCACGCCTTTAATCCCAGCACTCGGGAGGCAGAGGCCGGCAGATCTCTGTGAGTTCGAGACCAGCCTGGTCTACAGAGTTAGTTCCAGGACAGGCTCCAAAGCCACAGAAAACCCTGTCTCCAAAAACCAAAAATAAAATAAAATAAAATAAAGAAAGAAAGAAAAGAAAAATGAGGACATGACTGCTGCAACGTATATGGTTGAGGAGAAGATTTATTGTAGATATGAGGGAAAGTACAGCCAGAGGCATCAGGAAGAGTCCATACTGATCCTGCCCAGCAGCCTGAATCAGGCCATGAGAAGAGAGAGAGGGAGCAAAGAGAGCACTAGAAACGTACAGACCAAGTGGACAAAATGGCTGAGTTATATAGAAAAGAGAAGCTGGGGAACTTTAGGGTAGGGGCAGGGTATGCCTGCCAGGCTGGCTCTGTGACAGGCACTGGGATGCTGAGAGATGATAAGTTAAGTAGGCCCCTCACTTAAACACTTGACCCAACGAGGTCCACCTGCTTCTGCCTCTGCCTCTGCCTCTGCCTCTGCAGCTTATAGGCTTGCACCACCACACCCAGCCCCAGGCCAGCTTCCTTACTCGCAGGTAAAGGTGCTGCCACCAAGCCTCATGGCCTCAGGATTCCCAGGACCCAACTACAATAGTCGTCCTTTGCCCTCCTGTGTGTCAGAGGACGTGAGCACCACATACTGCATCAGATTTAAGAGGCCGGTGGGTGGAGCCTCCTGACCAGCGCTACACCTCAGACTTCCAGCTCTTTACACAGGTAGTGATGGGCATAGGACAGGTCAAGGCCATGTTGCTGAGGCCTCCATGACTGATGGGCAGACCCCAGGGCATCCTGAGGGACCACAGCAGGTGCACCTGCCCTGCTTCCCAAGGCCAAGCCCCCACCATCTGTAGGCTTTAGGAAGAAGCCAGCAGCAGAGGCTTGAGACCCCCAGAGCTGGACTGCTGGGGACTGAGCTCAAGTCCTCTGTAAGAGCAGCAAACTCTTTATCCTGCGAACTGTCTGTCCATCCCTGGGCCAGCCTGGGCTGTGGCGTGAGACCCTGTTTGTGGGGTGTGTGTGTGTGTGTGTGTGTGTGTGTGTGTGTGTGTGTTAATTATCACTGAACAGCCTGACAACCTGAGTTTGTGTCCCCAGAAGCCACGTAAAAACTGGATGCAGTAGTGCCTGCACTCCCAGCACACCCTACAGGGAATTGGGAGGCCAAACAGGAGAGTCTGCAGGGGTGAGGACTGGCTAGCCTGGTATACGCAGCCGTGGATGAGAAGGTGGAACGTGACCTATGTTGAGATTGTCCCCTAACCTCTCTGCAGGCACCACGGTATGCACAGATGGTGGAACTTACACAGCTGCACTCACACAGACACACACAGAATAAATAAAAATGAAAAATATTTAGAGAATACAACTATTTGGTGACATATGAGCGATGTGTGACCCAAAATGTGCTATGTCAGCAAAGTTTTGTTGCCACATGGCCCACCCATTGTGTCAGCTTTGGTACTAGAATAGCAAAGTTGAGTAGTTGCTGGTCTTGACACAGTGACCGGGGAGCCTAGAAAACTGACGCTTTGCAGAGAAAGGCTGTGTCACCGTCCTCTCCCCAACCTGCCATCTCATCCCTACCGTTGGACTCTTCCCTCCTGTCTTCTCCAGCCCCTGTGCTTGCAAATCCTCAGCCCCAGCCCTTCCTAAGCCCTCCCACCTCTCTGGCTGTTGTCACACCAGCCTGATGAGACAGGGATCTTCCTGGTCGGGAAGCTCTGATCCCTGTGGGCCAGTGTTCTACTGCCTTCAGGAGGAAGCTGGTCTTGTGGGGGTTCCACCTCCTGCTTGTCTAGGGACGACCTTCACATGCCCCGCTGCAGCTGACAGAAGGTGGCTCTGGCCTCTGCAGATCTTGTAGCTGGATGAATAGCACATCTCTCTTCTCTCTTGTAGGAAGCCCGCAGCCACTGGTGCCCCCAAGACAAAAGGAAGAAGAGTACAAGGTGAGCACTTTAAGGAAAGTGTTTTGTTTTGTCTTCATCAACGATTTTTGTTTAATTTTTTTATTACATGTGTATTGATCTCTTTGGAGGGGTGTGCATATTGTATCATGAGTATAGAAGTCAGAAGGGAACTTGTGGGAGTCAATTTGTCATCAATCAAGCTGGGCAGCAAGCAAGTGCCTTACATGCTGAACCTTACTGTTCTCTGAGAAAGTCTCATGGAGCCCAGGTTGCCGGTCAGCTCCTGATCCTCCTGCCTCAACCTCCCGGGTGCCATCTAGTTCATGAAAGGGGTTCTGGGGGCAGGGGAGACAGAGACAAGTCTGAAACTTCCACTGCTCAGTGGCATGCCTTTGGGGACTCGGGGTTGTCTTTGTCCCTGAGGTGTCGTGTGACTGTAGTTATCCTTTGGAGAGTTGAAGTCCCTCGAAAGTGTAGCTCTAGATGTGCACAGGCCACAGATCCAAGTTCATTCAGAAACCTGTGGAGCTGCCCGGTGTGGGTGCTTGAAGAGCAAGTGCTCCTCAGCCTCATAGGCTCCTTTTGTGTGTGTGTGTGTGTGTGTGTGTGTGTGTGTGTGTGTGTGTTACACTTCGTGTGGGGCAGGTAGCACACGTGCCATACACATGGGGTTAGGCATAATTTGGGTGGTTGTTTCTCTCATTGCACCATAGGAGTCCAGAGGACTAAACTCGGACCCTCAGGGTTGACAGTGATCACTGGACCTGGTGGGGTTTGGGGCTTGGGGTTTGGTCTTAGGGATGGAGCCCAGGGCCCCACATTTGCTAGGCAAGCACCTAACCACTGACCTATATCCTCAACAGATTTTTTGTTTGTTTGTTTACTGTGATGGCAGAAGTAGAATTGGGGCCCTCACTGTGCCAATTGAGCACCGTGCCACTGAGTGACCCCAGCCTGGCAGTTTTGTGTGTAACCTATGACATGTTTGCGTGCTGCCTGGTTTTATTAACACTGGCCAGGCCAGACGCCCCAGCCGCCGCCAAGGGGGCCTGGATCTGTACGTGAGTCTCATGAGGGTCCCACCCGTGATAAAGGCTGGAGTGGGTGGGGAGGAAAGAGCATGGACATAGGCCTCCCCAACCCAAAGGTACAGAGTCTGACATGGCTCACGTGTGCCCCAGCTTCCCTGCCCCTGGGCTGCTGTGGGCTCTTCTCCTGTCTTTAACTTTATTGTTACTTTTTAATCTGCTAGCTTCATTTAATTGAGAAACATGAGTGGTCGAGGTACAAACAAACACAGACCAGATGTAATGAGAAAGCTGGAGTCTTCCATGGTTGGCAAACAGGGTCTGGGAGCTGGCCTGGGCACATAGACCTGTGGGCCTGTTTATCCTGGCTGCAGGCTCAACACGTTTAAACTGAACCAGGGTCAGATTCCTACATCTGGGCTGTATTTTCCAAGCTTTTTCCTGGCACAAGCCCCAGGCAGAGTCTGACTTGGCCTTTTACGTCCATTATCTATGCTCTCAGAGCCTCTTCAGGATCTCAGCGAGAACCCCCAAATCCATGCCAGCATGGCCATTCCCTCACAACAGTTAACATCATCTAGGGTTACAGGAGTGGATCTTTATCCCTCTGATTTAAAGATAGGAAGGTGGGAATACTAAGACCACGGTGGGCAGCCCAGCTTTACTGTACTGAAGCACAAACAGAGATGGACTCCACCAGAGAGGGGTAGACCCAGAATGCTGTGGGATTTGTTGTTTTGTGTTTTGGTAAGTGGGAGGGGGTGTGCACATAAATGTAGATGCTCTTGGACACCAGAGAGAGTGTTGAATCTCCCAGAACTGATGTTACAGTTGCAAGCATCCCTGTGGGTGCTGGGACCCTAACTCCAGTCCTCTGCAAGAGCAACAAGCGCTTAACCACTGAGCCATCTCTCCTGTTCCTTTTTTAAAAAATTGCACTTATTTACTGAAGGTGAGGGGGATACCAAGGTGCGCATATAGAGGTCAGAGGAAGGCTCTTGGGAGGCGAACCAAGGTCATCAGACTTGGTTGCAAGCCCTCCACCCAATGAGCCATCCCACTGGCCCCTGGCTTTCACGGTCTAGAATATTTCTATCTTTGAACTTACATGGCACTTGCTGCTACTCCAAGGACTCACGTACAAGAGACGTTCCATCAGTGTCTTATGAACATTGAGTGTCCTGTGAAGGTACTAGATGCAGTAGCTGCCATGTGCATGCATGGGGAGACTGAAGGAGCCAGTCTGCAGCGGGCAGTAAGGCTGGTGCTTTTCCTGTCATTGGCCCCGGCTCTCCACTGTGGGGTCCTGCTCATGCTCTATGTCTTCATGCTGCAGTATTCCTCTTCTCTAACAAACACTGTGTCGTCTGCAGGAGGAAGAGTGGTTGAGTCCAGATACCTGCAATATGAGAAGAAAACTAAGAAGGTAATGGAGTCTTTTACTCTTGGAGCCACTAGGAATGGGTGGAGGGCACGTGGCAGCTGCAGCCTGATCCTGGAAGACACCACTGGGGCCTTTGCAGCCTCCAGGTTTTGGGCACAGTCCTGAGTCCCTGGTGAGAGTGACACCAGTGTCCATCAGTCGTATGTACCTCCTCTGCCCCTCCTGCTCTGGGGGCCTCTGTTCTGTCAGATCTGTCCTCCAGCACTATCCCTCCACACCCGGGAGGCTCCTGAGTGATGGGCACTGACAGCAGCACTCGGTGTGGGCCACAGGCACAGCTGGCAGGGGTGACGTTCACTTCTGCATCTTCCTGTGTGATACTTTTTCAGCTGTCAATAAGCAAGGCTGGCAGGTCTTCCTGAGGCCCCAAAAGCTGCAGTGCATTGCAAGAATGGGGGAAACATGTTGGGGTCAGCTGCAGGCTCATCCCTGTGGTGACACATCCCTGGAGCACAGGATCCAGTTCCTGGTTGTCTGTCAAGGCCAGGCAGCACTGCTGAGCACAGGCTTGGTTTATGACAATCAGAAGGTTATGTTCCCATCTGCCTGGCCTGTGCCCCAGGAAGTGTGGTGAGGGTTCCCAGGATTCCTGAGGCTGTGACTGGAAGTCTGGTTTAAAGGAAGGGATTCTCACATCACCCTGCAGACAGCTTTCCCAAGCTACTTATCCCTGCTTCCATTCACCTTGTGGCTGTTGCTGCCTTGAAGGCTTGGCCACAGTGCCCCCATGTGTCTATACAAGGCATTTTGGTTCTGGTAGCCCATCAGGTGACCTTGGTCTGGCTGGAGTCTTGAGTGTCTGTTGTCATGGTAACATTAGCCTGCTGCTTTCTCCTGAGGCTGAATGGATCTCAGAAGGGCTGGTCCTGAGTGGAGCCGCTTCCAGCTGAGCAGCCCTTTCCCTGATTTCAGTTGTGGATAAGGGGTGCTCGGGCTGTGCTGTGTGCTCCCATTCCTCCTGAACTGCTACACCATTACACGTTTCTCCCAGGCACACTTCCGTGACTTTAGTAGGTGTCTCCAAGGCAGTTGGTGGTGGGCATTGCTCTGCATTGGTCCTTGTTCTTTTTCGTGTGTGTGTGTGTGTGTGTGTGTGTGTGTGTGTGTGTGTTGCAGGTTTTACAACCATGCATATACACATGGATGGATGCCAGAGTGAAATCTTTCTTTTGTGACAGGATCTCACTGAACTGCCAGCTCTTGGGATCCTTTTGTGTTCCTCATCCCTTGCTAGGGTGAGAGGATCTTGTGGATTTGTTTCTGTGTAGATGCTGGGGATTCAAACTCAGGTCTTCAGACTTGCAAAGTGACTGCCAGACCACACACCACACAGCCCTGCTTGTTGGCCAGTAAATTCTCATTTTGTTGCTGGATTGTTTGTTCCAGTATTTTCCACCTTGGACATTTTCTCGCTAGTGAGTCAGGGTTTTCAGTGGTTAGCTTTCGTGGCCTGTTGTCAGCAGCCATAGGCAGCAGCTCTCGTGTCATTGAGCACAAGTTCTGAATTTGCTTTCAAAAGATCAATTAATATTCCAGCCAGGCGGTGGTGGCAGGCATAGGCGGATCTCTGTAAGTTTAAGGCTAGCCTGGCCTACAAGAGCTAGTTCCGGGAGAGATAGGGCTGTTGCACAGAGAAACCCTGAAGCATGATTAATAAATGCTCAGAGTCAGAAATTGGGTTTCAGTCTGAAGGTCTAAAAAGCAAAACAGCCAGCCACTGGCTCTTGCCTCTCCCTCAGTCTGAAATGGCAATCCTGCCTCCAGATTTCTCAGAATGAGACTATGTCTGAGAACTGTCTCCCCCATCTTATTCCTCTGTAGGGCTGGGATTAAAGGTGTGTGACACCATAATCTGGTCTGTAAGGCTGACCAGTAGGACTGTTTTTTTTTTTAATATTTATTTATTTATTATGTATATAGTATTCTGTCTGTATGTCTGCAGGCCAGAAGAGGGCACCAGATCTCATTACAGATGGTTGTGAGCCACCATGTGGTTGCTGGGAACTGAACTCAGGACCTTTGGAAGAGCAGGCAATGCTCTTAACCGCTGAGCTATCTCTCCAGCCCGCAGTAGGACTGTTTTACTCTCAGATCTTCAGGCAGTCTTTATTTATTAAAATACAAAAAACCCTATCTCAACCCTCCCCCAAAATAAAAGACCATTATGGATTTTTCTTCCTTTTTTTCTTTTATGGACAGTGTCTCTCTACATATTCCTACCTGCTGTGACTTATAGAGATCCACCCCTCTGCCTCCTGAAGGCTGGAATTAAAGACAGGGCCACCACATCCAACCGCGATTGTTGGTCATATGTTGTTGGACCTTCTTTAGACTGCCAGTTCCCAAATGATGGCACAGAGTCTTCTTATTAATTATGAAAGCTTGACCTTAGTCTAGACTTGTTCCCAACTAGCTCTGCCTGGTGGTGGTGGTGGCACACACCTTTAATCCCAACATTCAGGAGGCAGACAGACCTCTGTGAGTTCAAGACCAACCTGGTCAAAATTTCCAGGGCAGTAGGACTGTTTCACAGAAAAATTCTGTCTTAAAAAAAAAAATAATAACATGTCTGTATTAGTCTGCATTCTGCCGTGTGGCTCGTTCCCTCTCAGTACTGCTGACTCCCTCAGAGTCTCCCGGCTTAAGTACGAGAGCCTCTGATTCTTCCCGAGTTCCCTTCTCTCCCCGGAAGCCCCACCTGTTCTCTCCTGCCTAGCTATTGGTCTTTCGGGTTCTTTTTAACCAATCAAAAGGCGCATTGGGCAGAGACACATCTTTACAGTGTACAAAAAGATTATCCCACAGCAGTCAGGTGTGTACACAGACCTGTTGATGGCTCTCAGGCCTTCATGTGCCAGAGCCCAGCACCTGCTGGGGATTGACTGCATGGGATCCTGAGTCAGCGTCGGGGACGTGCTGGCATGGGGGTCTCAAGACCTGAACCCTGTGACTCTTCTTGGGTTCCCACAGGCTTTCGTGTATGATGTGTGAGGCTGACATCTGGCTTCGGCACATGCCCCTTTTAGTGTGGAATTCTTAAGGGTGTGCTTTTGAAACATTTTAATTGGCATTGAGTGTACAAAGAATGAGATTCATGGTGACTTTTTAAAAACGTAACTACATTTTTATTCATTAGAGTAGGGTTCGGGCCAACTGTACATATGGTTGTCAGAGGACAGCCTGTGGGAATTAATTCTCCCCTTCCACCACATGGGTCCTGCGCATCAACTTGGTTTGGCAGTCTTGGTGGCAAGCACCTTTACCCACTGGCCCAACTTTTTGATTTTAGCTCCTGGTGCTAAAATTGAATATAAGACTCAAACACACTAGGCAAGCCCTTTCCCAGCACACTATTGAGAAGGGTACATCGGATCCCCTGGAGTCACCACATGGTGCTGGGAGTTGAATCCAAGTTCTCCTCTTAACCACCGAGTCAACTCTTCAGCTCCTGGTCACACTCTGTCCAGTTACCTTCACAGTGGGTTCTTCAGTATCTGACCCTAAACCCCACAGCCCTTGGCTGGAGTACCACCCGGGGGAGCCAGGTCTGCGTGAGTGTGTGCTCCCTTATGCAGATTGGTCTGCGGGGAGGGCACAGGCACAAGCAGTTTTAGAGCATGATGACCCCGAGTTCCGGAGCCAAGGCCACAGCAGTCCCTGTGCGATCGTGGCCAGGGTGGTCAAGAGCCCCACTGTCAGGCAGGCGAGAAACGGAGCTTGCACTTTATTCTTCACAGCTGATTCTCTTTGTGCCCTTGAGGGCCTGGCTGGCAGCACCTATGCAGGGTGGAGTCTGCTGCCTGCTGGCCTGACACCTAGGGCCATTGCAGGTGGTTGCCCAGAGTGACCCTCAGACTTGGCAAACTTCTTTGCTCTAGTCTGAATAGGCTTGGGTAGTTTTGACAAGGAGTAGGTTTTAGTTTTCCTGTTCCATCCTGCTGCCTCCTTATTTCCTACAGAGGGCCCCCAGACCCAGTGGTGCATGAGAATGAACCATGATACAACCCCCACTGTGCTCCTTGCCTTTCTTGTACCTGACAGCCGGGCACCAACTGCTGCTGGTGGTGCCGCTGCTGTTTGTGAGCTTTGTAGACTTAGGCCAGGGAGAAGTCAGTGTCTCCTGAAGTCCAGAGTAACCTGTGTAGGAGTCAGCACGTCCTGAGAGTGCCATAGGAAGTCGGTCGCCAGCCCCTCCACAGCACACGCAAACACACCCATCGAGATGGCAGTCCAGCACGTGTACCGTTAATTCCCATGTCTGATGAATGTGGCTGTCCACTGTTTGACTGTCCCGTGTTTGCCGTCTCAAAACTCCTCTTCTCCGTCTGACCTTTAAGCAAATGCATCAAAGGTCAAGTGGCCTGACCTCTGACTGTCTGTTTACATAACAGGCTTCTGTGTCTGCTGGAGAGAAGTCACCAGAGGGAAGAAAGCCCAGCACATTTCAGAAGATCAAAGGTGAGTCCTGGCTAGGGTTGGAGGGGTGGGACTCTGGCAGCAGGGAAGGAGCTGCCAGGCCTCCCTCAGGGCAATCAGGACAACCCATCACAGACTGTCCACAGTCCAGCCTGATCCAAACAGTCCCTCAATTCCCAGGTGATCCTAGATTGTGTCAGGTTGTCAGTGAAAACTTAGCATCAAGGGTCTCTGTCAGAAAGGATGTGGTTCAAGTGTGTGATGGGAGCAAGCCAGAGTGTCTGAGGCCCAACCATATGTCCACAGAACTACTTGCGGATCCAGGAGCTGCTACTTGCTGTCAGTTTAGGATGCTACAGAAATTATAACCAATGGGGTGCCTGACATTTGGACACTTGGAAGGTGGTGGCAAGATCAGAAGTTCAAAGTCATCCTTGGCCACGTGGGCTCCATTGAACCAGGGTGTGCATGAGACCCTATCTCAAAACACAGGAACAAAAATTTCTCTGTTCCCAGGCAGGGATGAGAGCAGCACATGAGCCTGGCTAGGACGTTCTCATGTGCGGCGTGAGCACCGCCTGAAGACGGGCCAGTCAGGAGTCAGGACCTGCCTGGCCTAAACAGGTGCTCACCTAACAGGGACTGACTAGGGTTAGGGTGTATGCAGACATTTTATTTGGATTTTGGCTTCTGATGGATGAACCACAGCCGCTGGTTGGCCCTTGGTGCACAGGATGCCCCTGGCTAGCATCTAGTTGGCCCAGAGGTCTGCAGTACCAAAGCTGAGGAACGTTGTTTGTTTGTTTTTGTTTTTCTCATTTTGTCGTCATTGGTTCTTGTTCCTGATGCCTTGGCACATGTGATGTCCGAGGACAACTCTGGAGTTCTCTCCCTCCAGCTTCCTGCGAGTTCAGGGATCGAGCCCGTCATCGGGCTTGCCAGGCAAGGAAGTGTCTTTATGGGCTCAGCCAGCCAACCATCCCATTTTTTTTCAACAGGGCCTCATGTACCCTCGATTGGCCCAGAAGTTGCCTTGTAGCTGAGGACAGCTCTGAATTCCCAAGTGCCAGGTTGGGCGTTGAGCATAGGAGCTACTAACTTCACAGCTCCAGGAGCCTGGAAGGCCACTGTCACCGCTCCACCTGGCTGTAGAAAATGAAGTTTCTTGACTCTTCCCTGCTCAGCCCTGCTGTAAAAGCAGAAAATAGAGTCCTTCCCCACCTCTCTCACAGGTCACCACTTTGAATGGATTCTTTTTTATATTTAGGATTTGAAGATTGTGGAGTATGGGTGTAGCCAGCCCAGGGCTTGTCCAGCAGGGAAGGATGTGCCCTCCACTAAGAAGAAAGACTGAGCCTGATAGCACCATGTGCCCGTTAGTCTATTTCTGTGGCTGTAACAGAATGCCTGTGCCTTAGAAGTTGACAGGTTTTTATTTGTTCATTTTTGAGGCAAGGTTGTCCTATAACTCATCGAGATCCCCCTGCCTCTGCCTCCTGAGTGCTTGACTAAAGGAGTGTGCCACTAAATTCTGCTTGGTGGTAATTTGTTCTTCCGAGATGAGATTTGTTGGGACTAGAGAGAAGGCTCAGCACGGGCTGGAGAGATGGCCCAGAAGTTAAGAGCACTGCCTACTCTTCCAGAGGTTCTGAGTCCAATTCCCAGAAACCACATGGTAGCTGACAACCATCTATAATGAGATCTGGTGCCCTCTTCTGGCCTGCAAGGATACATGTAGGCAGAACATTGTATATCTAGTAATATTTAGAGAAACGGGGGTGGGGGAGTAAATCTTTTTTGTTTGTTTTTCTTTTTTTTTTTTTCCCAAGACTGGGTGTCCTAGTTGTCCTGGAACTCGCTCTGTAGACCAGTCTGGCCTTGAACTCACAGAGACCTGCCTGCCTCTACCTCCTCCGTGCTGGGATTAAAGCCAGCACCGCCACCACCTGGCAGTGTGTTTTTCAAGACGTGGTTTCTCTGTATAATCCTGGTTTGTCTTGGACTTAGTTCTGTTAGACCAGGCTGACCTTGAACTCAGAGATCAGCCTGCCTCTGCCTCCCAGGTGCTAGAATTAAGTGTATATGACCTTAGGATTAAAGGAGGTGGCCCCACAAAAAAAAAAAAATCTTAAAAAAAATAAAAAGGTTTCTGCCATGTGAGATGACTTGGCCAGTAAAGATATTGGCTACATGCCTGGTGACCTGAGTTCAGTCCCTAGGACCAGCGTGGAAGGACCTCAGCCCAAACAGTCACACTCAACACAGTAAATAACTTATTAAAAACAAGGCAATTAAAGAGGCTATCGAGCTCACGGTTCGGTAGTCTATGCCCAAGAACAAGAGACCTGAGAAGCTGCCCCTCGCCTCAGCTGTGGAGCTCACAGGCCCAAGAGTCTAGCACCCACACATCCTGGAAAAAAGAGTCCTGGTGGCCCCAAGATGTATTGAACCAAGGGGTGTGGGCCCAATGGCACTGACCATGGAATTCTTCTCTGGGCAGAAGACAGCCTGGTGATGGGAACAGGAGGCCTGCAGTCCACCATGCTGGAAGGGCACAGCACAGCCCTGCCCTGCCTAGACCTGTCATCCATCAAAGGTAACCGGTTTCTTTTAGCCCCTCGGAGGCCGAGCTTGTAAGGATGGCCCCAGCTTTGGGCAGCCCTTGTCGCAATTTTGAATCACTGCTGTGAGACCAGCATGTCCCTTTCATACACACCAGGCCTGGGAGTGGGTCCCAGGTGTTCTCTCCTGCCAGGCAGGGTGGCAGATCCCAGGTGGGGTGGCGGCAGCTGCATCTCCAAAAACTAAGGGAAAGAATGAAATGGTCTATTTTAGACACAAGCATGTTTAGGACGGCTCCCCAGCTAGACAGGACAGTGTCAAAGAAAGCTGAGTCCACGTCCTGTACCACTCAGAAAAAGACACGCCTTCCCAAGAAGAGACAGGTGAGCACTGGGGGAGCGGGTGGTGGGTAGGTCTGACTCTCGGCAGCCAGTCCTCCAGGATGGAGGCTAGGGCTGTGGTGTCCATGGGTCTTTGCTCAGGTCAGTGTGCCCATATACTGAGTGAGGAGACACCCATACACTTCTGGGCAAGATGTGACCTGACTCCATCCCCAGCCCCGCGGACACTATTTGTATTTGAACCTATAAAGTACACAGAGGTTGGGGTTCTGCCATGCCCGGAAGAGCCAGGTCAACATGGCTTACTGGGAACTGAACAGCAGGACCCTTACAGGATCTGCAAGAGACCATGGACATGATGGAGTCTCAGACACTGCTGCTGACCCTGCTGTCTGTGAAGGTGAGCTTAACTGGGCCTCACGAAACAGCGTGTGTCCTCTGTCACCTCCCCCACCCCACCTGAGTTGGTCTTGCTACCCACAGATGGAAAACAACCTGGCTCTGCTGGAGGAGAAGGCTGAGAAAGACTTGGTGGCCTTATGCCATGAGAAGGAGCGTCTACAGCAGCTGGTGCTGGAGATGCGGCGCCAGCTGCTGCTCCAGCAGAAACATCAGGAGCTGGCTACCATCCTGGATGCCCAGGTGGGTTTGAGCATGCTCCTGAGGCTAGGGGTGCATGAGGGAGCCAGGATCAGGATGCCACCACTCACATTCTGCCCGCCCTGCTTAGGCTCCTGATACGAGTGTAGTACTGTGTATGGGACACCTGTCTCTGCCACACAGTCTGCAGAATGCTTGGCACCTGCCAGCTTTGATGTTGTCCCACCGTGGAGCTTAGCATAGCAACAGGGCCCCGTCCAGGGCAGGTCAGAGGGGGTCCTGTTACCTGGAGGCTGGCCCTTCTTGTGCGAGTGAGCGGTGTGTCTTACAGTGTCCCTTCTGCCTGCAGATGGAGGTGCTGGGCCCTCTCGAGGCTGTAGCAAAGCGCTTCAAGGAGCAATACAAGACACTGGCCACAGCCTTGGATGCCACTCGACATGAGCTGCCCGTGCAGGGCATCCACATGCAGGGAAGTGGGCAGGAACTTCTAGGTAGGAACAGTCTTGCTGTGTGGCATTGCCTCAGCAGGAAGAAGCCCCAAGGCTCACATGCACCATATTCTAGGTGCCTCTACCCTGGGGTGGTGTTGGAACCCGTGTGGAACAAGTAGGACACAGGCAGCTGAGTCAGGATTCCAACCCCAAGCTGGACTTCACAGCTGGAAGACTCTGGGGGCCGGGTGACCTATCTACTGGCCCTGAGCCCTGGGCCCTACCAACAGGGTGGGGGTGTTGAGAGGTCACTTGAGGGATTCTCTGGAGCAGACATCCTCATTAGGACTTTTTAGCTGCACAGCGTTTACTCAGCCTGGGCTATGTAACAAATGAAAAAGGTATAGTGACCTTCATTTATTGTCTGACTCTTGGGAGACTGTGAGTTCCAGGCCAGCCTGAGCTACAACACAGTGAGACCCTGGCTCCATAAAAGAGCACAGTGTTGACCTGGAACCTGTAGCGATCCTCCTATCAAACTGCCCCTAGCAAGTCTGTACCCAGCACAACTCCAGTGAGGTGAGGACACAGCAGGAACAGGTCCCTTAACCCTCATGACCATGCTGGGTTGTGTGTGGTGCGGGTCTGTGCCTGGGACACACGGCTGCTGCAGATACCAGAACCTCAGCACTTTAGATCTGGAGGCCAGGAAGTGCAGGTCCAAGCCACATCTGGTAGTGGAAGGTCAGAGGGTGAGAGAACAGAGCAGCGGCTTGCAGCCTGAAGCCCCAGCTCCCCTGGTCCACAGGAGCCTCCTGGGCAGCAGTCACAGAAGCACCTGTGCGCGCCCCACTGGGTTTGTCTTCCCAGCATGCACTTGGCACCCACACTCCAGGGACGAGTGAGATCTCCTAAGATCCCTCCCTTTGGCTCTGTTCCCTGAGTGTGAGAGAAGAGCCAACTCTGCACAGCTCAAACAGCTGCTGCTTTGGGCACCGGAGTCCTGCTAACAGCCTGTATCTCCACAGATGATCTGGAGCCTGTCCTAAAGACCACCCTGCAGCTCCTGGGCGAGCTGGGCATCTCCTCCCCGGACGCCAGCGGGCAGGTGCCAGATGCCAGCATGCAGGTGTCATGCCTGCTGGAGGAACTCAGGGACTTGATTACCAAGAAGGACCGAGAACTCTACAGGTGTGGGTCAGACCTCCCGCATTCCCCTCCATCCTTTTCCCTTTCCCCTCCATTCTTCCCCCTTTCCCCTCCATCCCTCCCCTCCTCTATCCATCCTCCCTTTCCTTTCAGTTGTGTTGCTGGAGGTGGAACCCCGCCCAGCTGCCATCTCAGGTGAAGACTGTTTGGGCTTTTGAGGACTCAGCTATTGAGTGCCTCACTACTACCGCACTGTTCCACTCCTAGCCCACTTCTGAGTTCTGAGACACTGGGACCTTGGGTGCAGTGAAGCCATCGATTCATACTGTGCCAGAGTCCAGCAGAGTAGGACTGGGGACAGTAGAGACCTGAGGTCACCACGGGCAAGGAAAGCATCCTACACTCAGTCTCATGCCCTAGACAGGGCAGCTCCGGGCCAGCAGGGGACAGAGGGAGCCTTTTCTGAGTCTGACAGTTGCTCAACACATGTTACACATCATTCAGAAGTCAGTCTTAGGGGCTGGAGAGATGGCTCAGTGGTTAAGAGCATTGCCTGCTCTTCCAAAGGTCCTGAGTTCAATTCCCAGCAACCACATGGTGGCACACAACCATCTGTAATGGGGTCTGGTGCCCTCTTCTGGCCTGCAGGCATACACACAGAATATTATATACATAATAAATAAATATAAAAAAATTATTAAAAAAAAAAGAAGTCAGTCTTAGCAGGATGTTTGGGGGTTTCTTTTTGTATGTTTTGTTTTGTTTCTAGACAGAGTTTCTCACTCTGGAACTCACTCTGTAGATCAGCCTGGTCTCGAACTCAGAGATTCACCTGCCTCTGCCTGCCAAGAGCTGGGAGTGAAGCTGCACACCACCACTGCCTAGCCAGTCTGGTGGTTTCTTGAGGGACATTGTTGTTTTGTGTGTTTTTCTAAGACAAGGTCTCAATCTGTAACCCAGTGTGGCTTTGAACGTGCAGAAATCCTCTCACCTCAGCTTGCAGAGTTCTAGAATGGCAGGTGTGAACATCACACGTGTTGGGGTTTTGTTTTTGTTTTTTTTACGTATTTTTATGTTTGGGCACGTGCATGCCAAGGCATGAGTGTAAAGGTCAGAGGACGGCTTTGGGATCTGTTCTCTCTTTCCACTTTGTGGGCCCCAGGGATCAGACTGAGGTCATCAGGCAGGCTTGGAAGCAAGCACCTTCACCCACCAAGCCATTTTGGCCACCTCCAAAAAAATGCATTTAATGAGATACCCATAGGAGTTCTCAGGGATTCTGAAGCACCGTACCTAGCGCTGGCCCACAGGATGGGTCAGCCACCACCCACATGGAACAGAGACTGAGGATGTCTCCCTGTGCTTGTGACCACTGTATGGCCGCAAGTTTCCCCTGTCAGTATCCGAGCAGTACAGATGTACCTGGTATTCACTCTTGGACACATGCCCTCCGTCATCTAGGGGCTCCTTAAAGTCTTCAGACACCTGGCCTTTGACCATGTGGTAATGGCTGAATCTCACATCTAGCTTGGTACCAACAAGGTCTCCTCACATAAAATTTGCCCACTGTTGAGGGTGTGGGGCACTGAGGTCCCAGGGGAACAGGAGGATGAAGGATGCATTCAAGGCTCGCCACACAGCTCTTTCCTGCTAGGCCTGGGGGCACAGATCTGTCAGCTGTCTCAGCTGCTTGGGGGCAGAGGCAGGAGGGTCATCAGTTTAGGGTCAGCCTAGGAATCTTAGGTGCTGTCTCCTTCAAAAGAGGGAGAGCTGGGGACGGAGGGAACTCAGTATACACAGGCCCTGCTTCTGTTTGCAGCACCATATGGACACATGCACACTTGCCCCCAAGTTTGCAGCCACCCTTGTTAACTTCCAAAGACACCATTAGGGTCCTGAGTTCAGCCAGCAAGGAAAGCCTGGTGTCCTGAGTTCAGTCCCCAGGATCTGTATGGAAGGAGAGAACCTATTTCTCTAACAAGTTTGTTTTTCTAAGATCTCCTTTAGAGTTCTTGGCCAGAGGCGAAGTTGTCCCTTCTTTTTCTTCTGCCCACAGGATCTTTGGTTTAGCTATGGAACTTTCCACCCAGGCCAGCAAGGAGGCTGCCCTGATAAACCAAGAAGCCTGGGAAGAGGCCCAGGGCACCCCAGCCTGCGGCCAATGGTACTTCGGTCCAGAGGCCACAGACATGACCACTGCTGTAAACAAGTAGAGAATAAATGTCAGAACTTGAGTCTACAGTTCATTCTATGTGGCATAATCATTCAAGTGTAATTTAAAACAGTCTGAGACTGTGATCGTGTAATGAGAAACAAACAATTTCATATTAATGAGAACCCATTTGCCAATAATTCTGTCATTTGTAACTTGAATCAGTCATCACCCCTGCAAATAACCCTTTCAAGACATTATTTGCAGGGGCTGGAGAGATGGCTCAGAGGTTAAGAGCACTGATTGCTCCTCCAGAGGCCCTGAGTTCAATTCCCAGCAACCACATGGTGGCTCACAGCCATCTATAATGAAATCTGATGCCTTCTTCTGGCCTGCTGGCATACATGGAAGAAATGTTGTATACATAATAAATAAATAAAATCTAAAAAAAAATTAAAAAGAAAAAGACATTATTTGCAATTTTGTCCTCTGCTTTCTGTCCTTGATGTTGTGAAAATGGCTGTCTACTGTTACAGGAATGAAAAGAGATCCCATTCAAACACCTTTTGTGTTTCCACTTTCAGTGAAAAATGTTTTTCAAACCTGCAGCTGGTTATTTCTGCAGGAGTTCCCACTTATGCTCAGATTTGATTGACATTTTGAAATGGCAGCTTTTCATGAAAAGCTGTTAACTTGTAGAATTCAGTTATGGCACTAGGACAGACTGACTTTGTTCTGTGGCAGGGACCTGTCCAAACTAAATAGAACCCTGCATCTGAATTTAATAGTCTACTCGGCCTAGATAGGGCACTTTGCCTTTTAGAGAGACGAGAGAGAGAGAAATATGCATGTACATGTAGCACAGATGAGTATGGGAAGATGGGAAGAGAGGGAGAGAAGAAAGAGGGAGAAAAAAAATTTTTTAAAGAAATTGATAGATTACAGATCTTCCAAACAAAATCTCTTTGTATCACACTTCAACATTTTTTCCTTCATTTGCTGGCAGCAATTTGGGAAGTCAGTTCATAGGGATGGTGACCCCTTTCAACACCAATTGAATGGCCAGTCTGTGCAGCAGAGCTGGCATCAATGATAATTTTCCTTTATAGACACAAAACAAGACTGGTAGTTTAAAAGCACTACCCTTCTGCACATATCCTACTAGAATTCTACAAGCCCCTGAATTAACCACTTTTATTTATTTCCAAGACTTGAGAACCTTTTCGAGCTGTATTTATGTACATCCTATATTGGTGTTACTTAAAGAGAAAAAACCGAAGGAAATTAGAATGGGATCTCCAAATAAATACTACAAACTGTTGGGACCAAAAAAAGAAAAAAAGAAAAGATGTCTGTTCCCACAGGGGAGGTTGCTCCCCATGGGCCTGGTCTCTCCAGGACTTGTAGTAAGAGCGGCGGCGGGGCTGCGTCCCCAACACCCCAGCCGCCTGCCCGGCTAGCTTATGCCCGAAATAATTACACGGAAACTGTATTCATTTAAACACTGCTTGGCCCGTTCTCTTCTAGGCTAATTCTCACACATTAATTTAGCCCATTTCTAATCATCTGTGTGTAGCACCCCACGGTGCGCTTACCAGGAAGATTCTAGCCTAGTCCATCCTGGGTCAGAGCTTCATCCCAGGAGCGGGGCATGGCGTCTCTCTCAGGCATCTGCTCCCGAGAGGACAGCGATCGAGTCTCTAAGCTCACTTCCTCTTCATCCCAGCATTTTGTTCTGTTTACTCCACCCACAGGGCCAAGCAGTTTCTTTATTGGCCAATGACCTTCCTCCATCAAGGACTGGCTCCAAGAACTGCAACAATTGGTTTAGGCCACATAGCCTCTGCACAAAGTGGGGTGGCAATTGTTGGAAGCATGTTCTAGAGATAGCATCCAGAGCTAGACGGTGTGGGTCAGCTCTCCACCTGCACAGTGGGAACTAGGTGTGGTCTCCGTTCCTGTAAATTTGAAGGCTGAGACAGGAGGTTCAAGTCCATCCAGGGCTACATGGTAAAAACTCTCAGAGAAAAAGGTTGGAGAGCTGACTCCACGGTTAAGAGGGCTTGCAGCTCTAGCAGAGGACTGGAGTTCAGTTCCCAGCACCCACACTGGATGACAACTGTCTACTTCCAGGCTCTTTTATCAGCCTCCCCTGATGATGGACTGTGACCCAAATAAACCCTCTCCTCCTTAGGTGTTGCCTTTGGCCATTGTGCTTATCATAACAATCGAAACTAAACTGGTACCAGTCCCCAAAGTGAGGACCAATGGCCAGCATCACCAGAAATACAAGGTGGCCCTGGAGGGCAGGCACCAGGAAAGGTCAATCTTCTCTCCCACAAGGACTCTGCTGGCTGGAGCCAGCAAGCTGGGGTTCCTGGTATGAGCGAAGAGAAAGAAGTGCTTCCCACTAGACGTAGTAGACACCAGTGGGGTGTGTGCATCAGCCCTGTCCTGGACTTACCAACTTGAGGCTCTGCCTCGCTCCTCACTCTCCACCCTACCGGTTGTCACCCTTGGTCCCTAAGGCCGGCAGTGCTGTCCTGTGTACAGCCTTTCACCCCAGGTCTGTGCTCAGGGTCCATGTGCAGGCAGGTGGCACATAGGTCCTGGTGAGTGTGTGGAACCTGCTGCTGTTGTAAACTCCCATAACCCCTTCTGACTCCAGAAAAGGTTTACCCTTGAGATCAGAGACCAGGGTTCAAAGTGGAACAGCCAAGGTCCCAAGGCAAGGCCAGGAGGAGCAGGGTGGGAGGGGTGTGGAGGTTGGGCCTGAGTGGGATTGGGGCAGTTTGGGGTGGGCTTCCTGGGTTGGGGTGTTGCCCGGTTTGGGCGCAGATCTGTGCCAGTCTCCTTTCCCAGCACCTTCGCATTTCAGTCCGCAGTGGGGACCCCATGGGCCGGGAGCCCCTTAAGGCACCTGTTCAAAACTTCCAAGTGCCTGGGCAGGTTCTGACTCTAAACTTGAGGTGCTCTCAATCTAAAGGTTTGAAAGTTGGCATGTCCAGTTAACTGTCCTCCCTAGCGACTGTTCCCCGTGCCATTTCCTGTCTTTCCAGAGCAGGGGTCACCAACCCCCACCTCCACCACCTGCAGTGATGTCCTAGGGCAAGATGCCAGGTTGTACCCACAGATGTCAGTGCCTACACTTTCTGTGCTGGTCAGCAGAACCTGCTCAGAGTGCACCCCAACTTAGTGCTTTGGGCTGGGTCACGTACAGACCCCCAGAGACACCACACATTTGAAAGGCCGAGGCCCAAAGCTGCTGCAGCCTGGGAAGTCGGTGTAATCCACACCCTTCAGCCATGTGGAAGTCCTGTGTCCACTGCTGCAGGGCCACTAGTAGGTACAAGCTGACTCCTGAAGCCAACAACAGAATGTAGAGCTAGTCCCGAGGACCCAAGCCTGTTTACACACAGAGCCTGGCTGCGGGTGACTTAGAAGCACGGTGGCCGGCCCCTGAGAGCAGTGCCCCCCATTGCTCCACCTGCAACTGGACCTTTGGGCTGGGGGAGGACAGGACACTAATCCAGGCCGTGAGTGACTGCCATGTGTGTGCACGCTGCAGAACGTGACTGTCTGTGTGCACGCTGCAGCACATGTGTGAAGGTCAGAGGACACGTGGGAAAAGGGTTCCCTCCTCCCATGGGAGGACCAAACTCAAGTCCTCAGGCTTGGAAGCCTTCTCACCAGCCCCTGAGGGACCTTGTTAAGTGCAGGGACACCAAGAGCAGAGCTGAGGAGCCAGATGGACCAAGGAATTTTCATTCACCCACTGCAGCATCTTAGGACAAGCATAGCAGAATGAGTGAATGACCCAGGCAGCTTTTAAAGAGTACACACAGAGGGCAGGCAAGATAGCTCAGGGGTTAGTGCTTGCTGTGCATGCATGGGGACTGAGTCTGGATCCCCAGAACCCTCGTAAAAGCCAGGAGCTGTGCACAGATGATGGAGGTGGGTCATCTGTCTATCTGTTGCTTTCATTGGTTAATTAATAAAGAAAATGCTTGGCTTTTGATAGGACAGCAGCTTAGATAGGCGGAGTAGACAGAACTAAATGCTGGGAGGAAGAAGGCAGTGAGACAGACGCTACAGCTCTCCTCTCCAAGATGGACGCAGATTAAGTTCCTTCCTGGTAAGGCACCACCTCGTGGTACAACACACATTATTAGAAATGGGTTAATCAAGATGTAAGAATTAGCCAAGAAGAGGCTAGAACTAATGGGCCAAGCAGTGTTTAAAAGAATACAATTTGTGTGTTGTTATTTCCAGGACTAAGCTAGCCGCGTGGGATCCAGGCAGGAATGTAGCCCAGCACTTCATTACTACACACAGAGACAGTGGATTCTGGGAGTTCCTAGTGAGCCAGCCTTGCCATAGGCAACGAGTTTCAGATTCACAAGAGACCAATCTCACAGATTAAGGTGGAGGCTGTGGAGACAGCTTGGCGGTTGAGCATCGGTCACTCTTGCTGGGGACCCACGTGATAGATCACAACCATCTGTGACTCCAGTCCAGGGGACCCTCTTATGACCTTGTGGGCACCAGGCACATGCAGTGTGCAAACTTATATACAAGCAGAACACAGGCACACATAAAATAACTAGTTTTGGTTTTTCAAGACAGGGTTTCTCTGCGTAGCCCCGGCTGACCTGAAACTCACTCTGTAGACCAGACAGGCTTTGTACTCCAAGATGCGCCTGCCTCTGCCTCCCAAGTGCTGGGATTGAAGGCGTGTGTCTCCACCACATGACCGTAAAATAATTTTAAAAAAATTTAAAGGGCCGGGCGATGGTGGCGCACGCCTTTAATCCCAGCACTCGGGAGGCAGAGGCAGGCGGATCTCTGTGAGTTTGAGGCCAGCCTGGTCTACAAGAGCTAGTTCCAGGACAGGAACCAAAAGCTACGGAGAAACCCTGTCTCGAAAAAAAAAAAAATTTAAAGGTAGAGAAGGACTTGAGTAAGGCACCTGCACCCATCATCCTCTGCCCCCTGGTGCAGCCACAGGCTCATGCACACACACACCTACACACACACACACATACCTACACTGTACAGACACACACCCCCCCACACACACCTACACACACACACACACACACACACACCTACACACACATGCCTACACATACACATGCCTACACACACACACCATAAAGACACATGCACAAAGCACAAAGGTTTGAAGTTTATCAGCTCACGGTTCTGAGAGACCCCTTGACAAGATCAGTGTGTCCTGGGCTGGGTTCCTCTGAGGCTTTGAGGCAGAAACTGTCTCATTTCTGGTCTTGGGTGACCTTAGGCACCCTCAGCATCCCTTGATTGTGGCCTCGTCTCTCTTGTCTGCCTCTGTAGTCACACATTCTTGTGCTCTGTTACTATATA